TGAAACGACAGGAAACATGGCTATATCACATTTAAAATAGAATGATATACTGAACAACAATGCGTTTGAAATAAAAATTCAGCACCATCTAATAAATGAGCTTTTTTTTTTAAAAATAAAGCATTTCTTCTATGTAAATGAATTTCCACCATTTGTTATATACTCATGCATTTATTTATTCTCATCAATATTCATGATACTTTTTTGAAAATCTAGACGCAAGAATTCAATTAAATGACAAAGATGCTCTTTTACATTTTTCTCAGTGTTTCGAAGGAAGTTTTAAGAATTTAAAAGGATTTATTACCAAGCAATGTATTTCTGAAGACTTACCCAACCATTTATTTTTGAATTGCTTAAGTTACTTTTTTCCTAAATTGTGAATAATATTTTCGATTTGTTATTTTGATATGCTTGGAATTACAAATGTTTTCTAAAACACTTTTAAAAACAACCACGTTTGTATCGATATATCATAAATTGGATGTAACCCATACATCAAAATTATCATTTTGAAAGAAGTTTACCAAAATAATTACCTCTTTCCTGATTAATCTATTTACCTTTGAGAGAAAGCTATTAGTTGTAATGAAGAGTAAATATTTGCTTAATGGCTTTTCTTTCGTATTATTATTTTAATGCTGTGCATATTATTTTATTAACTTTAATTAAATTGCTGCAAATTCTTTGTTACCAATGTAATTTTAAGCAATTTATTTTAAAACATATTCAATTTTTAATTAAATTTACTTTAATTATTTCTAAGTGCTGTCGTATTATTCGTATAATGGTACCTAACAAATTGTTTCTGCAATATGAAAAATTAAAATAAATAAAATTATATACAAAATTATTTAGTAGTAAATGTTAATGGAATTTATTGAAAAAAATTTTTTTAACTTAATTAATAAATACTTTAAGCATTATGTAGAGATAAAACCATTTATTGAATTTATTGGAACAAGTATTATAAAAAAAAAATTTTTAAAGTCAATTCCTACTTTTTTTTCACTATATTACAGAAAGTAAATTTTAAATAAAGTTTAAATTTTCCTCTTACATCTAGCGCCATCTATTGGTGGATATATGCAATTTAAATCTAAAAAAACTAAAATTAATTAATTAAATTTAATTAATAAATTAATATTTGAAAAAACTGTATTAACATCAAGTATCATCCACTACAAGCTCAAAAAAAATGTATTTGAACTTAAGTGGATGAATAAAAAGTATTTTATTAATGATTGAAAATTTGAGCAAGATATATATAGGGAGAGTGTGAACTAATAATAGGAATTGAAAAATACACTTGAACTTCAATAACGCGTGAATAATATATTAAACATTTTTGAACATATAAAGATTATTTTTGATATAATTGAAGAAAGATTTACAAATTTTTTTAACGTTTCACATTTTTTGCTATGAAACAATATCTTGCTTGACATATATATAAAATACTGTTTCAATCAGTAAGAAATTTAGTTTGCCATGATACAATCTTTTTTTACTGCGATTTCGTATATAACCAATCTATGAATTCTTATATTTCTATTACATTTTTTTTTATTCCTATAGGCATAAAAATAACAATGAAAGGAATTCTGATGTATGGAAATCTTTTATTTCCACTACGAAGTATTTCAAGATTTCCTGAAAAATACTATAAAAGCAAATTTATTTGAATTCAATGAGTTAAAAAATATGTATTTACAGTCTTACCACTATGACCGATTATATAATATGCGTACACAAAAGTAATTGCAATAGAGTCTCGAGTTAAAGTTTTATGATTATACTATCATCCGACACACAATGACTTGAATGTCACTAAAAGCACTACTCTTTCAGCCATTACACTTAATATACTTTATTTCCTTCAAAGTAGAACATGAGATCCTAAATCAATAAAAAATACACTGCTGAAGACTCTATACCAGGAATGGCCAACCCACGGCCCGCTTGTCTTGAATATTTTTCCTGTCCGTGAGATTCCTCACACTTTTACAAAATATATTTATTTTATAACGACAAAGTAGTGAAAGCCAATGTATTAAAAAAATACATTATGTGTACATCCATATATTCAAGAATTATCTATCGAAATTATGAGAAAAAAATTAACAGATATTGATATACACTCATGTCCATAAATTAAGGATAATGAAGTTCAGGCAAAGAAGAGACAGAAGCAAAACAAATTTGATTTATTTGTAAAGTCTATTTATTAAACAAAAGGTAAAGAGCAAAAAAGATGCTATATGTTTGACATAATTAATAAAAATTGCGATTTTTACTCCCTGGAGCAAATTTCAAAAAAAGAACCTATTTACAAAAAACAGTATAACATGGTTAGTATGATGGTTAATATGGAGTATGTCTCCCGGACGATGAAATACAGGCCTTACAACGCCTAGGCATGTTGAGTATCAAATTATCAATCTGATCTTGGGGAATATTACACCACTCATCAAGCAATGCCCTCCGAAGTTTAGGTTGACAGGGGGAGGGGGGGCTGACGGACTGCAATTCGTCGGCCAAGCATATCCCACACATGCTCCATTGGATACAAGTACGGTGAGTATGCTGGCCCAATCCATACGGGTGCTATCCTCCAATTGAAGGCATTCGTCTACAATGTTTGCACGGTGAAGACGGGCGTTGTCATCCATAAGCAGAAATTCAGCACCCATGACGCCCCGAAACAAACGTACATGTTGTTCCAGAATGACATCCCGATAGATGTGGCCTGTCATCGTTACATTCTGAACATGCAGGTCAGTTCTGGAACCAAGAATAATTCCTCCCCAAACGAGTCATCCTGCACCACCGTAACGGTGTCGTTCAATGGTGTTCTCTTGGTGGTAACGGGTACCTGGCGCTCTCCATATGAAAGTCCGGCGAGAATCAGACTGCAAACTAAACCTGGACTGGTCGGAAAACATCACACAAGACCACTGTTGCGGTGTCCACAATGCATGCTCTCTACTCCAGGTTAATCGCAGGCGACAGTGACATGCGGTAAGTGGAACACATCTGACAGGCCTGCGAGCATATAGACCAATGTGCCCTAAGCATCTGTACACAGTCTGCCTTGAAACTGTCGTACCGGTAGCTGAAGAGAGCTGACGAGACAGGTCAGATGCTGTGCTCCGTCTGTTTCTTTTGGCAGTAACTGCTAAATACCGGTCCTCATTCGGCGTTGTAACTCGGGGGCGACCTGTGCTGTAACATCTACTCACATTACCATCATCTTGGAATCGTTGCCAAAGCCTGGGCTTGACACTCTGGGCGATTCCAAGTTCCTCGGATACTTCCAGCTGGGTACGTCCACATTCCAGTCGTCCGATAATTCTACCACATAAAAAATCTTTCAAATGTTTCCTTTGTGACATAACTATGCGGTTATTGCACTGAAAGGCTTTTAAAGCGCTTGTGAACAATTTTACTTCTTTGCCACCATTCCTTATATACCCCTCTCTTACACCCTCGTCATTGTGACGTACTATCCGCGCCATCTGGTGGTTTCCTGTAATTTGCATATTCTTCTTCAAGATGTGTGTGATAATTCTACAGGTGAAATTTTTATTTTAGAGTTCAATTTCTGTGTGATTCAGAATTATCCTTAATTTATGGACATGAGTGTATATTGATAACAAGTGGACTGAAAAGTTCGTAGGCTGACACGATGGAGCTACTAGTATTAAATCCATATGATTTTTGGTTAGTCCTAACCTTCAAAAGACACCTGTATAAATGTGATAGCTGTTGCACTATTAGTATGTGAGTGTTAGCATTTTTAGTGTTCATCAGGCCACAACTCATTGTTTATCGTACTCAGCTGACTGTCGATTGGACTCCGGTGTGAAATGATGGAGCCATGTTTCACCCATTATCACATATCGACGGAAAAATTCAGGTTCATTACGATTGAACAGCTCCAAACACTGCTTAGAATTATCAATTCGTTTGTTGTTTTGGGTCGATTGTGAGCTCCCGCGGCACCCACTTTGAACAGATCTTTCGCATATCCATATATTCATTCACGATATGTCCAACACGTTAATTTGATATCTTTAGGGTCTCAGCTATATCAATCAGCTTCACTTTACGGTTATCAGAAATTATTTTGTAGACTTTTTCGATGTTTTCATCGGTAACATCCTCTTTGGGGCGTCCACTGCGTGCATCGTCCTCGATGTTCATTTCGTCTCGTTTAAATTTAGCAAACCACTTCTCTACGGTTGATTTTCCTAATAATGTTTATCAAGCCAAGCCTTGGCTTCAATAGTACTTTTTTTCGCCGAAACGCAATGCTTTATTAGCACACGAAATTCCTTTTTATCCATTTTTGCAAACTAACAAAAGTTGCTTCATTAAAAATGTCATAACTCACATACTAATGGTGCAACAGCTATCAAATTTATACACGTGTCTTTTAAATGTTAGGGCTAAGTAAAAATCATTTGGATTTGAAACTAGTAGGCCATCTATGTATCAGCCTATGAAACTTTTCAGCGCACCTTTTATATATGTATATACATATATGGCTGATATATCAAGTCAACTTAGTAACCGACCTGTCCTCGGACACACGGTAATATGGCTGATATATAGAGAACTTTTCCAATTTGAAAAATCTGGCACAAAAAGTTGTTAAGCGCTTTTGGTTCAACTTCCACCAGCGAATCGTTTTTTTTTTTTTTCGCAAATAAAATTGACTAAACTCAAAGCACATTCAAACATAACGGACGCTAACCTGCAACACCCATTACGATGTGCAAATAACCAAATCTAGATCGATTTGTAAAAGCTAAGGGAAAGAGGGGAGAAACAAATATCTCATTAGTAAAATTAATATTTTTTATGATTTCATTTTTTTTTACGCTTATATTTATATTTATATTTTATTTTCAGTGTTATATATTTCTTTACAATGTGCATTTAGTATTATTATTTTATTATCTATTTTACATGTATGAATAATAGTAATCCCGCCAATGGCCATACCATGCTCAATATACAGGCTCTCTTTAGATCACCGAAGTCAAGCATCATTGGGCGCGGTCAGTACTTGGGTGGGTGACCACCTGGGAACACCGCGTGCCGTTGGCATTCACAAATTTGGGACCTAAATGGCCGAGTATCTAGCGCTCTGGCGCTCGATGCCACAGGTTTCGGGTTCGAATCCCGGCGGTGCCATGGATGTTTGAAGTGGTTCGGAATCCACTTTAAGCTGTAGGTCCCGGTCTCCTATGACTGTAAGAGCGTCACGGAGCCAAAGTCAGATTTCTACCTACGGGTGCTCCATCACAACAGAAGCTGCTTCCTTCCCCTTCAATCATGAGTACGTGTGGGCTTGGCCAGCCAAGTGGGATAAGAAATAACAACAACATAATAGTAATCCCAATAATAATAAGTCAATTTGTATCAACTTTTCACTCGCAATTTTATATGCGGCCCGCGGATCTACAATGCATTTCCAAAGTGACCTGTAAAATCATTTGGGTTGGCCACATCTGCTCTACACCATGAAGGAAAGCAAATAGCAGAATCATATTTATTGCGCCTATATGATATGATAGGAAGATATGATTAGATTGTCAGTAATTTTGAGATTGCGAACTTCCTACGGATTGGAATTATCATTGATGCTTACTCTGGCGGCAATAGTAATTCAAATCCGGACGAACCTCGAATTGAACAGATTTAGATGGCAAATATCGTATAACATACCATGTGGCTTCTACTCAGTGCTTTCATCAATTACAACGGCTGGCGAGTGTTAGTGTACTAATCCGTTTGAAATCATTGTCCATTCTCTATTTGTGGCAAATGTGGAGAAACGGAAACAGAAATCTAATTAGCAGTTACATTAATAGTTTTCCAAATAAATTAAAATGGTACTTTTTCTATACAGAATTGTAGTTTTGAAAATTCATCAGGAATCGTCTTTTTCATGAGACTGATTTTTAAAATCAGATTCCCCTTAAAATAAAATTAAATATTCGAAAAAAACTACTTTACTTCTAAACTAATAAAAGCAAGCAATTTAACTTTTCTTTCTTTCTAATGCAGCTGGCAAACACTTAGACAGCTTGGTCGCCTTAAGGCAAGCGCTGCACAGACATTACTCACTTTGCATTACCCAGGGGGCGCGTGTAACTTGAAGATAAGCCTCGCGAACGCGAGACGACTTGAAGATAAGCCTCGCCTGAAGATAGGCCTCGCCTCCTGTTAGGACCGGGACCTACGGTTTAATGTGAATTACGAACTACTACAAACACCCATGGCGCCACCGGGATTCGAACCCGATACCTGTGGTACCGAGCGCTAGCCACTCGGCCATTCAGGCCTCGCAATTTAACTAATATAACATTTAATTGCAGTAAGGATTTGTTTTGTATTATGATATTTTTCGATATATTTTATTTATATTTTTAAAAGAAATATTTTACATTTTATATTGTAGATATTGGATTATTTGTTATGAGATATAGGGACGCTTTCTGACAAATCTGAATTGAAAGAAAAGCATCCCTAAGGGTAAGGCGATTATGACAAGAGCAAAAATCCAATTCGAACATAGCAGCTGGTAGATAAATTTATTATACTGATCATATATTTGCAAAGTGTATTTTGTATACGTTTTTATAGATATTCTACAAGTTAAACTGCTAAGTGATCATCATTTAATACTGTCCTGTTCAATGAAAATGTTTTTATAATAAAAAAAATACGGTTGGATTCTACATAATTTTATTTTAATTAACTAAATTGTACTTTTGACGTATTTATATCATTGCATTTAAATATTAGCTTTATATTGTTATATTTAATTTAATTTTAATATTTAGCTTTATATTGTTATGATACTTTTAAAAATTGCTTAAAAATATTAATTGTTTTGTAAAAATTAACAGCGTATCATCATTACTTGTTGCTGAGTTATACCAGCTATGTTCCAGCGAATATAAGACTTAGCATTGTAACACATTCAACTGTACATAGCCGCCAATAGAAAACATTTTTAGCAATATCTACTGAAAATTCCAATCTATCATATATTATTTCTACTATATTATGCAAATTCTACTGTTTCTTCTTTAATCTGTGAATTCTACTATTGCTCTGCAAATTGTACGAACGTATTATAGTGTTTATAAAACGTATGCTTATCATTTGATTTACGAATGTGTGTCTTAATGTTGCAAGCATTTTTTTTAATTACACTGAAGTGACAAAAGTCATGGGATAGCAATATGCAAATTTTCAGATGGCAGTAGCATCGCGTAGTACAGGTATAAATGCGCAGTGCTTTCGCAGAGCTTTCATTTCTGTTCAAGTTATTCATGTGAAGAGGTTTTGACGTGATGATGACCGCACGACGGGAATTAACAGACTTTGAACGCGGAATGTTAGTTGGAGCTAGACGCATGGGTCATGCCATTTCGGAAATCGTTAGGGAATTCAACATTCCCAGATCCACTGTGTCAAGAGTGTGCCGAGAGTATGAAATTTCAGGCATAACATCCCACCATGGACAGCGCAGTGGTCGACCGCCTGCACTTAACGACCGAGATCGGCGACGTCTGCAAAGAGTCGTAAATTCTAACAGGCAAGTAACACTGCGTCAAATAACCACAGAAATCAATGTGGGACGTACAAGGGACTTGTCTGTTAGAACTGTGCTTAGAAATTTGGCTTTCTTGGGCTATTCCAGCAAAAGACCGACTCGAGTGCCTTTATTAGCAGAACGACATCGCTTGCAGCGACTCTCGTGGGCACGTGAGCATATCGGTTGGTCCCTAGATGAATGGAAAACCGTGGCCTGGTCCGATGAGTCACGATTTCAGTTGGTAAGAGCTGATTGTAGGGTTCGAGTGTGGCGCAGACCCCACGAAGCCATGGACCCAAACTGTCAGCAAGACACTGTTCAAGCTGGTGGTGACTCCGTAATGGTGTGGGCTGTTTTTTCATGGCATGGACTTGGTCCTCTGGTGCGACTGGATCGAACATTGACTGGAAATGCTTATGTTCAGCTACTTGGAGATCACTTGCAGCCATTCATGGACTTCATGTACCCAAACAACGATGGGATTTTTATGGATGACAATGCGCCATGTCACCGGGCCACAACTGTTCGCGATTGGTTTGAAGAACATTTTGGACAATTCCAACGAATGATCTGGTCACCTAGATCGCCCGACATGAATTCCATCGAGCATTTATGGGACATCATCGAGAGGTCTGTTCGTGCCCAAAATCCTGCACCATCAACGCTTTCACAATTATGGACGTCTATCGAGACAGCATGGCTCAATATTCCTGCAGAAGACTTCCAACGACTTGTTGAGTCCATGCCACGTCGAGTTGCTGCACTTCGCCGGGCGAAAGGAGAGCCGACACGATATTAAAAGGTATCCCATGACTTTTGTCACTTCAGTGTATATTATAGTGCATTGTGCAAGTTATTATGCAAGTGTATTATGCAATCTTTTATTAGTTTCACCTGCATATTTGTTTGTTTGTATGTATGTAACTGACTTTTTAATATGCTTTTATTAGTTTCACCTGTATTTTGTTTGTTTGTATGTATGTAATTGACTTTTTGTTCTAGATATTGCCCTACTTTAAGCGATCGGATTTAATTTAAACGCTGTAGACTTATCAAGGACTGACGACAATAAAATAGTTTGATAAGTTTATTATCTCATCATTATTAGGATCTCCAGGATTAGTGATTAAAACACACAGCTTTTGAAAAGTCATCGTGATCTGCGCATCATTTTTCTTCCTGGAGATCTTTTTCTCCTCATACACACTATTTAAGCTGCAAAGAAACATTTACAGGCATCATTCTGACATTCAAACCTACGTGGGACAGCGGCACAACGGATAACGGATGACTGACTACGGATTAGGAGATTCCCTGTTGGAATCCTGGTTGGCTTGACATATTCGCATTTAGCCTTTGTTTTACAATTAATTAAATTATTGTAAGAACCAGTCCTCCAACCGGGATCTCATTTAAATGTTATAGTTTAAAAACACTAAAAAACATGCTCTTAGAGTTAATCAAACTAAAAATTAAAAAATAATTGTTAATATGAGAATAAAATGACTGACGAGAAAATGAATGTCACTGTTCTAAGAGCGTGGGGTGCTCGATATCAATCGTTATCATTTTTCACTAGTTTCATTTCGAAATGCAGAGTTAATTTAAAAATGTCATACAAAGCACCCCACGCTCTTAGAACAGCGACATTCATTTTATTCTTATGTTAACAATTAATTTTTTACTTTTTAGTTTGATTAACTCTAAAAGCGTGTTTTTTTATTTTTTTTAAACTATTAATTTATTCTATTTTCAGGATATTGATGCTACATATTTCGACGATAGTGTTTACATTGCTTCATTTAGGAGTTAGATTCCATAACTTCCAAGTTTCGCCACCTGGGGGAGTGACGGTCTTGCGTGCATCGGTTATGTCCACTTTACTATAGTTTCCATTATTTAGTTTTACTTAATCCATTGTTTACGGTCATGGAACCCCACTTTCGTCTTTAAAGAGGAATTTTAACTCGACTTCAAACTGGAAATGTTTTAATTAATTTTTTATCCGACCCCCCAATGAAAACAAAAAAAATTAAACTTCGTCATTAAACATCTGGGTCAATTTTCGTCACAAAAAAAGTGAAACTTTCTCTGTTACAGTCATTAGAATGAGTGCCAAGTTATACTGAATAGAACTAATAAGAACCCAGGGGCTGTACAAAAAGTGAGATTTTGCACTTTCAGAAATATTAATTTTTTAAGTATAAAAATGCCAAAACTTGAACTCACATTTGAAACATTTTTGTAATTGAAAGTATATATATCTGTATCCATTGGTTGTAGAAATATAGGCAGTGTATGAACATTGCTTTAAACTCTGTATAATTGTGTTCAATTACATTCTTGAATATATTGTTAAATCACAATTTTTATTTAGTTTCGAAAAGGGAGTTGCTAATTGAAGTATTATAAAATTGATACAAAACTACAAATTCATATAACTTCTGTCAATTTATCATTGCTTGAGAAAAGTATTCCAATTTTAATAATATA